TAAGTGCTCGTGGGTTATTATTAATAAGGTTAAAAAAGTTAGTGACGTATATATCAGATATGATTAGGATTACCAATAAACAGGCAAAGGATTAATTCAGCCTTTTTTTTTAATTTACGTGTGGTTCAAAGGATTCTCTGAAATGTCTTGCTGCTTGCATCCCATCTGCCACATACAGTGATTGTTCAAGTTATGGCATTCCATTCACACGTTTATCTGCTAAAAACGCGATTAGAAAAGTTACTTACAGTGCATCCTCGTCAGTTGTTAAATTAGGACATTTTTGCTGCAGTGATTCCGCTGCCACTTCAATTGGCCCCCGGTGTGACAGCGGTAAGTTCACAGACTTACAACGCTAAAATCAGGGGATCGATTCCCCGCTGTGGACAAAGTAGGTAGCCAAACGTGGCTTTGCTCTAAAACAACTAACCAGCTACTTCAGTTTCTGAAAGGAACTTTTTTCAAAAGCGGATATTTCAGATCTCTCAAATCATATGTGTGCTTTCCCCGTGCGTTTATGTATTTTAAGGCAGTATCGAAGAAAGACCGTGATAAATTAAAGTAGAACCGGCGTGTCACGAACCTCGCTTTTTTTAAACAAATTTCTCACTAACACAGATGTAAAATCTTCTTCACACCAGTTCTTTTCCAGACTGTTGAGGATGTCAACAGATTCCACTATACAGCGATCTTCTACCTCTATCGATTTGATTGTGTCATGAAAGAGGGTCAAGTTCGGTATTTGGGTCTTCAAATGTTTTTCACAGAACTACTGGGCACTTTTCTTCTGACAAGAAAAATGACTTCAGTGGCTCATAAAGTTGTAGTATTCCCCCTAAAGTCGGTAACATCGATAGCCAGCTGACATTACTATACCCCAGTATATTTGGATATCTTCGCTCAACGTACTCACAAAAGTCTTTCGACGCGAACAGTACAGGTATGAAAATATACAAGAATCTTGATTAGAATACTCTCAACAGCTACCGGAACTGTGTCTATTGCAGTTGTGCACAATTTGAGCAGGGTATCCATGGTCAATCATTTCACTTTTGTGAATACACATTATCTCTACCTTGGCTGCGTCAAAGTTTGTGTTTGTATCGTCGTCTGAGAAAGGCACAACCATATTTTCAAGTCCATACTTACTGATGACTCCTATATATCTCTGATGCAGAAGTTTCTGCTGTCTCTCCTTTAAGATTAACAAAATCCAGTAATTGTGTTTGTACACAACAGACTTCCATCATAAGCCTTGAAGTAGCTTGCCAAGACAGGAAACAGTTCTACAGGTCCATGATTTGTTGATGCGTTAACTGACAGTGATATATATTCAATATCTTTCAGGTCATTAATTAGTTCCTCATTTGCCCATGGAGCCAAGATATTTGTAACTATCGTTCAAACTTTGTCCGTGCACAGGAAAATTTGGATTTGCTGAAATTTTTAGTTAAATTAATAGTACAGTCTATCGACCTAAAACTGTGATTATGTTCAACAGTATGGTATGGGAAAAGTTCTTGTGCAGCAAGGTCATACTCATTCAGTTACAAAACTTGCACTGGCACGGGCTGCTTTATGTTCGTGTTCTTTTACAGATATCCTGCCTCCAGTAGACATTGAAAATACGGAATGGAATATTGAACATAAGAAACATGTCTCCTTTTACGGTTGGTCGTAAATAAGGAACATTTTTTAAAGGTGGTCATTAAAGTAACATTTTGTTATATTCGGCAGTGTTATTTCACTTCACCACAAATCTCCCCCTGTGCGGTTTAACGAAAACCATCATGTGTTACACGGCATGCAGTCAACGTTGTAACTATGGTAACCGCAATGTGTATTTATAACTCATAATTTGATGGGCGGTGGTTTTTAACGAAAATAATGATAATAAAATAAATCGTTTTTAGAATGATTTTCGTGAATCGGAACGCTGTTAGGGACATTATTTGGCCGAGGACAGAGTACCTCATTCGGGGACGTATGGTCACTCTTGTTTAAAATTACAAATAAAAGAAGTAGGAAAGGCATAAGGTACCACACTCTTTAATAAAACTTGCAGGAATAAGACATCTTTCATCAGTTTATTAACATGTTATTTTTCATTGGGTTTTTCAAACCTAATATTTAAGGCCTGGTGGTCAGGATGCACGACTCCCAATCTGTGGGTCACGGGTTCGAATTTCCGTCACAAAACATGCTCGCCCTTTCAGCTGTGGGGGTGTTATAATGTCCGGCCAATCCCACTAATCGTTGGTAAAAAAGTAACCCAAGAATTCGCAGTGGGTGGTGTTGGCTAGTTGTCGTCCCTCTAATCTATCATTGCTAAATTAGGGACGCCTAGCGCAGAAAGCCCTCTTGTAGCTTTGCGCGAAATTCAAACCTAATATTTATAATTTAAAGGCTACAAATTATGTTCTAATTGTCTAGCGGCCTAGTAGTTAACACGTCGGATTGTGAATCTTATAATTCATATTTTGCGTCTTCTTGTTGCACTTTTTGTAATTTTCTTAACATATGATAAAAGATGCGTCATCTCAAAATGCAATTAAACAATTTTGACAGATAGGCGTCATATCTATTTGTTTGTATTAAATAAAGTAAATGATAATAAAATAATATCTATTATATTATTGTAAAATTAACTTTGATTACTAATTTTGCCTAAAATATTTTTTGAGAGAATAGAACGTGTCTAACTGTACCTGCCCTCTGTTGGTCGATGTTTGTTCAACATATGGTGAGTGTTGTCATTTAAAATTTACGGGACTGACCAAAGGGCGCTTGAACAATTTGTGAGAAAGGCTTGACACATTAAAGTAAGTAAAATCTGATGACTAAAAGAAAAACTGTATTTGGGTAAAAAAAAATAAACTGCGGTTCAATAAGTAGACTTTGAAACTCGACACTGAGTGAAATCGATTATGAAATCTTCAGCAGAGTACATAGTTAACTTTGATACTAACAGAAAGTATAGGCCTAATTATGTCTGAAAAATTTCAAATATTGGCGTTTGTACTTTGTTCATACCGTTGTCGTTTCAATTTGACAGTAACTGTGTTTTTTTTTTGTAACATGGTCAAAGTTAGCCGTGGTTGTGTAATTATGGGTGATATCAGTATCACATCGTTTCGACTTTTATGAATAGCATTGCAAGAAATTATTGTATATTCTGGTATTTGAATAATAATCAGTTCAAATATTTGTAACATTAATATTGAATGTACTGAACTTCAATTTTTCGAAATTAAAAAAAAAATATATATATATATATATGTATATACACTTTTATATATTTTTTTGTATTTTTACATTTCATATACCACGTCCCTGTAGCGCAGTGGATAGCGCGTTGGACTTCTAATCCAAAGGTCCCGGGTTCGACCCCCGGCAGGGATGATGATCATAAATATTTTATTTATGTCCAGTTTTAATATTTCTTTAAAGTATTATGTAAACACTTGTGAAATCTATCAATAATTTGTGTTGAATTTCCAAAAGTTCATCCAAGAGTCTACATCTAAATATACCATAAATAAGCCATCAACGAAGGAAGACTTTTAGGTCGCTGCAACTGATACTTTGATATTCAAAACGCGCTCAACTCGCAATCTAAGGGTCGCGGGTTCGAATCCCTGTTACACCAAACATGCTCGCCCATTTAGCCGTAGGGACGTTATAATGTGACGGTCAATCCCACTATTCGTTGGTAAAATAGTAGCCCAAGGATCTTACGCTGCTAAATTAGGGACGGCTAGCTCAGATAGCCCTTGTGTAGCTTTGCGCGAAATTCACAAAACAAACAAATATTCAAAAAATATACGTAACTACCAACGGGTTATCTCAAATTGCTTATCATAAACGTTTGATTAACATAATTTAATATGTTTTTTCTATACATTAAATGAGTACCTATTACTAATTAAGTAGGACTGGTGTATGTAGAAAAAGGAAATTATATTATATCGGGAGTCGAATACATACTTTTAAGACAATAACTTAATAGGAAAGTTACAGGAACAAGCAGTAGAAATTAAATAAACGTCACTAGCAGGATTACGTTTAAAACAGACGACGAGAAAAAGATCTGAACAAATGTACTCGGATATCATATTTCACAAAGTTAGTAAGGTTGTGAATTTTTTTTCTGTGTGTTATCGTAACAGTATTGGGCCTAGTATACGCTAGGCATGCTACAAAGTTACTTGTACTTAATATGTGTTGAAAAGTTTATAGCAATTGGCAACGTTTTACCTTTAACCAATCAGAGAAGACTGCTAGATCACATGACAATCACATCTGATATATACGTCACTAACTTTTTTAACCTTATTAATAATAACCCACAAGCACTTATCTAATCATATCTGATATATACATCACTAACTTTTTAACCTTATTAATAATAACCCACGAGCACTTACCTAATCATATCTGATATATATGTCACTAACTTTTTTAACCTTATTAATAATAACCCACGAGCACTTACCTAATCATATCTGATATATACATCACTAACTTTTTAACCTTATTAATAATAACTCAAGAGCACTTGTGTACTAATGTATTTCATTACTCATTTAATTCACATTTAATATTTGTTTTATTTAAGTTTCTAGCAGTCCATGGTGCTTTGGAGACACGGGAGGGGTATAATTAGTGGGTCAGAGGTGTATTGTTGACTTATTATTACGTGACCTCTGTTGGTCCTGCAAAATAGATAATCGGGCAAGACTCTGGAACCAGAAAATCGGTGGTGTACCTGTATAATTAAACTAGAATTTTTGTTTCAGTTTTCTAAAGTTTTAATAATTTTGGTATTGGATATTATCTTCAACAGTTGTTTTAAGATTTTACATCTGGTTGGCCGAAGAAAGACATACCTTCCTTGTCAATCTGCCATCCTCCATCACTTAAAAAGTGTTAATGACAAATGTAATTTCTGATCATTTATTCCTTTGAACAGTTGCCTTCACTTTATTATGAAAAATGGTTTTGCAGTGATTTGATTAAAGAAATATTTTTGAACAAAACATATTTTTTTTCTACTATTTTCAGAATATGATAATCTTGTACTTATCAATGGTTTTATAGGTTTATAGCCTGTACTCACTTCAAGATGTACCATATCACTCCTGCCGAGTACGAAGAGTTTGTCAGCATCATTTGTAATGCGAGGTCAGCCTTCCAACTCACCCCAGGAGGGATGGCCCAGTTTACAGAACTGTTACAGAGTCTACGACGCTCGAAATCCTGCAAAAAAGAACTCTGGCAGAAAATTTCAAGTGTTCTTTCTACCATAACTATTTGATGATGGAGTACAATAGCACCAAGACTGTATGGTTTAGGTTTTTTTTTCTTGTTTTTTTTTTAGATAACATGCATTCATTTCTCCACACCATGAAGTGTATTGCTTTCAGGGTCCAGTATCTGGCTCTCCAGTTGTTTTGAAAGTCATAGAATTGTTATATCATCATCTAGCACCAGAGTGGGACACGGTGGCTGTCCATCTCTATGTATCAGCTCAGGCACTTTACGATCATCAACAAATGCTCAAATTTATTAGAAAGAAAAAAAAAAGATTTTAACTGTTTATAATAAGTTGTTCTAGTTTCTAACTTTACACCCTCAGTGTTATTGTGGAGTATACGTTTTACCTGTGGTTGGAACTTTCTCGTTATCCGTAGCGGTTCTGAGTTACAAGTTCCTCCAAATTTATACCCTAAGTCCAGAAATCATTGTGTTGTTGTGTAACCAAGCGGTTACTTTAGAAAACCCCATCCAGAAGAATTCTGGTACAGAACAGTGTATCTTTAAAATATGTTGGTTGTACTTATGTTTGTTCTCAGGGTGATTTTATTCAGAGGTAATATTTGATTACTTTTAACAAGTAGTTTGGCTTAGTTCTTGTTGTCATTGCTTTCTTGTTTACTAATATATATATATATACATCTAAATATCAGGGTGATTGTTCAAATTGTTTAATTAAATGTTTGATTTACGGTATTAGTTTAGTTGTTCTTTATATCAGTATGCTAGTGTCAGAGATAAAGGAGGTTAAGATGTAAAATTTAGATAAATGAGAACCTGTGTGTATCGTAAAACAGGGGACTACTAATGTTGCTTTAATGTGATGCATAACAAAATAATACTGTTTAACTTTGACCATAAGATTTATTGCTTTTCTTGTACAATTCTCTGTTTTCGTGAAATATATTGGAATAAAAAAAAGAGATCTGGGTGAACATGTACAATATAGTTTCTTTAGTAGAAGTATGACAATAGTCCCGTTACCCAAACATTTCTGTAAGTAACATACTTCAATGTGTATCTGTTAGTAACTATTTTGCAACAGCTACATTTTAAACCACTGTGATTGATGTTTGATGAAAAATAATTCTGTTTGTACATCCTCTTCATATGATGTTTTACCACAGTAATATGCACTTTGATTTGTCTCTCTTACCCCGCATGTAGGTGAAGATAACTGTGTTTAGTCTTGTACGTTAAAAAGACGACAATATCAGTGTTTCTCAGTCTGTGGTCAGAGAAGTACATCACCCCTTATGTCGCCTTACCTATCTCAGCCAGCCAAAGCATGTAAGATACAATATATTTTTAACCAGTCATTTATCATAATTTGTCTTTTAACAGGTTTTTTATCCTTGTAGTCGGGGTTTTTGTCTGTCTGGAGCACGTAGAGAAACCATACTTTTCTATCATAAGAGAAAAAAAAGTTTTTGTAATTATTATCTTGGTGTCAATCTACTTAAAATAATCCGTGTTGAATTTTTCAGATAATTTTAAGATATTTTGGATGGAATACCATCATACAGAATTAACTTTTATCGTGTGTATTTCAAAGAATGTTTTTAATTTTATCGCTCACACTTAATTAAGCAAACTCAACAAACATTTATAGGTAACAAAACAGTTCGTTTAAACCCACCTGTGAAAAGTACCTCTTGTCATCTGAAGAATATATTTTTATTAACTGCTGAGATCTAAGAAACATATATAAAAAAACATTTTTCTCGTTCATTGTTGAAACCCAACGAACTTATAAAGAAACTCCTCTATCATGCATTGTTGATATCAAACAAATTTATACAAAAATACCATTTTCATTCATTGTTGAAACCCCACAAACATATTAAAAAAAAACAACTTTTTTTTTCATTCATTGTTGTTGTCTAGAACGTTTATACAAAAACTTTCATTTTTGTTCATTGTTAAAACCCAGCAAACTTATAATAAAACATCTTCAATCATTGTTGGAACCCAACAAACTTGTATAGAAAACCTTCCCGTTCATTGTTGGAACCCCAAAAACTTATATAGAAAACCATTGTTGAAACCCAACAAACTTATAAAAAAAAAAAACCTCTTCAATCATTGTTGAAACCTAACAAACTTGTACAAAAGGCTCCTTTCTCATGTGTTGTGGAAACCAAACAAATTTATGTAAAAAAAAAAACATTCTTATTTATGGTAACCTTCCTCCAAAAAAATAGTATAAACCGTATGGTAAATATTTAGCTACTTTGTTGTTGTTGTTACTGTCAAGTGGTGTGAGAGTAAGCCAGAACTGGGTCTCGTGTATTTTCCCAAGTGCAGAATATCGTATGACTGTTAATACTGAACACATTAAAAAATTTATATTCTTGTTTTTTGTAGAGAACAAGTACATATCCATATTGTTAATTATCGATACTTGAGTTTTTCTATTAAGTTATGTGCATAATGAAGGTTTGTAAATGACAAGTTCATATAATGGAAGTTATAATGTTTAGTTCATTCCACAAGTGGTGATAAAACATAATTGAGTTGACAGCCTGTTCCTCACCTGTGTCAGTTTAAGAATATAAAATTCTTATCATGTTGTGACTTAATGATTTTTTCTGATTATGTGTGGATTAATATTGTTTCTTCTGAAGTTCAACATTTAACAAGGGCTTATATATCCTAAATAACAATTTATACCTATTTTTATTGGCTTATTTGTTTCATGGTTGCCTTCAACAATTGTACAGGTGTTTCCAAAAATGCAACTACTGTGTTTTGAAAATGCTCATTTATAGTTTCACTAAAATGTAACTGTTTTTGATTTTTTTTATAGTTAACAGAATATTTTGGATTGAGAAAATATAAGTACTTCTTTTTCAGTTTATCAAATTTTGTTATCAGTTTTAAAGTTATTTATATTCGTAAATCTGGTGTGTTTCAAGTAAAGACGAAGCAGTGTGTGATGGGAGTATACAATAACAGCTAAGGTTCTTTTTTTGGAAAATGTGGTACATTTTTTGAGTATTTAATGTTTTCATAGTTGTTGCTGTCTTAATAATATATCTAAAACCATTTTTTAATACATAATTTCTGTTTTGTGTTTTATTGCTAATACAAATTATTTCCTGTGAAAATCTTTGGTTTTAATTGAACTTCAGTTTCATCACTGTACTCCTAATGGAAATTAGAAGCAGGATGTGATTTCTTCTTGTCACATAAGTTAAACTTTTAACTAAAGAATGGTAGCGTAGATATTGGTAATGGTCGTATTTAAATAGATGACATTTCTAGATGTCTATATTTATTGATAAGATAAATAAAAATCTTGCCTGTTTTGTTTTACTCATTCTTAAGTGCCGTATTATTGTTGATTGTTAGTTACACACTCTTACTGTACCTGTACTTTTAAGACATTCTGTTCTAAACATTACAGTAAAGTAGTGTACAAGGGCTTCAATTAAACAAATCGTATGCTCCCAAATATTCATTTGAAGTTTCTGTTACAGTATAAAGTTAACTTAATGTGGCAATAAAGTAAACCATTACGGTCTAGAAGCTATCATGTATGTTTGTATTTTCATGAGATAGGTTGTAGTGATACCTCATCAACTGAAACTAATTTTATTCTGAGTGACTGTTTAATCTGATGACCTTGTCTAACTTCACTTTGATAGATTAAAACTTCCAAAAATATATGAAGTCTACTATAAACTGAAGATAATGATTTAATTTTTAAAAAAATGTTGTTTCTCTCAATATTTATGTCTAAATAAAGATAAGGGTTTTTACAGAGCTAAACTAGGTGATTTTAATATTCATGATCTCAACAAAAGGAGGGACTAATGTATCTTTATTTTGCTGGTTTTCAGTATGCTGTATTAACATTAATAGTTTTGTCAGCAAACAACCTGTCCATGATATTTTAGAAAATGAATAATTTTAAAGTTTCATCTGCACATTATTGTACAGTGACATATAATATGATATTTGGATTATAAGTTTTGATTTTGTGTATTTTATTTTTTAGCTGATCCCCTGTTTTTTGAGGCCAAACAGATTTGTTGTGAGATTTTAAATATGTACAGTTTTTCTGGTTATTATACATAAAACAGTCTGGAAACTCTACCAAAGTTCAATAATTCCAATTAAAACTGACCTTAGCACTCGATATATTAGTGAGACAAACATTGTGAAACGTGCGTATTTATGGTTATTGTAGTTGAATTTATGTGTTGTCTCCTATAACGTTTAATTCGATTTATACGTGAATCTATTTCTTTCATCAATAAAGTATAATTGAAAAATGACAATGTGACATGAGTGTGGATTGATTTGGTATTGAAGATATGTATTATCAGATATACATATTCATGACATTATATGCCTAATAGAATAGATAACATACATTGAGTTGAGACGTTTTTTTTTTATTCTATGCTATAGGTATTTTTTAAAAAGGGTTCACTACCAACTGAGATGAGGGGGGGGGGGGTAATGTGGGGAGATATTTGGCTGACCCACCTCTTCCATTACCAGGAGTAACTGTCTTTTACTTCGAACCATTTAGATTTTATTTTCACTAATCGTAACGTCATTATATCAAAACTTGACCATGATGTGTGCTTCAGTCAGAACATCTATATTGATGATGTTGGGCTCTGTGCATCATTGGGGGCATCCATACTTTTCCAGCCCAGAATTTCTACACAAGGTATTATGTACCACAGTTAACCTGGTGGTTAGGTCGAGGAATCAAAACCTTCTCTAAATATTCCTGCTCTTTCAGCCATGGGGGTGTCAATGTGGCAATCAATTCCAAGAGATGGCAGTAGGTGGTGTTGACTAGCTGTCTTCTTTCTAGTCTATTGGTTCAAAATTAGGAGTGGCTTGTGCAAAACAGTCATTCATAATTTCTCGTTTGACATTTGTGACTTCCTTTGTAACATGCTCCAAAACCCCCCACAGCATTGCACTTGGTCATGCTATTACAAAATGATGGCCCCTACTTATATCCAAACACAATTGCATGAAATGAGTCTGACTTTGGATGTAGTTGTTCAATCCATTGATCAGCCTGTATCTCGATGGCTTGTTGCCATCTCAAACAGTGATCTTCAACTAAGTTACCTGTCCAATAAATACCTCTGTAGTCAATACTACATATTAGTCTTTAATGGTGGCTTTACTACTAATCTTTCATTGATTGCAGAATCACACCTCGAAAACTTGTAGACAATCTCACCTGGTCTACATTAACTTGAAACTAAGTAACACCACCAGAGTATTATATACACAAGACTCTCTGATCTCCTTGAGATTACTTAACATTAGCTCCGATTCTCTTCTCTCAGAAATTCACAGAGTTTTAGTAGGTTCCTGGCTAGGTTAGACTTGGGACAAATGAGATGACAACACTGCATATAAATTAGTTTCAATTATCACTGTTAAGCCTGAGTCCATTCCATACCTTCATGTGAAAACTGTCATCGGAGTAAGGCTTTGTGTAAGGTGGCAGGCAGTTGGGATGAGCAAGAACATACAAACTTTTCCAGGTCAAGCCTACCATTAATGATTGACCATCTAGCTTGTACAGAGGCCATAGGAAACATATAAACATTTCCAGGCCAAGCCTACCATCTAGCTTGTACAGAGGCCATAGGAAACATACAAACATTTCCAGGTCAAGCCTACCATCTAGCTTGTACAGAGGCCATAGGAAACATACAAACTTTTCCAGGCCAAGCCTACCATCTAGCTTGTACAGAGGCCATAGGAAACATACAAACATTTCCAGGTCAAGCCTACTATCAACGATTGACCGTCTAGCTTGTACAGAGGCCACAGGAAACATACAAACTCTTCCAGGTCAAACCTACTATCAACGATTAACTGTCTAGCTTGTACAGAGGCCATAGGAAACACACACTTTTCCAGGTCAAGCCTACCATCAACGATTGACCGTCAAGCTTGTACAGAGGCCATATGAAATGAATTGTTGTGACAAGGCTCTGCATTGGTTATAGCAAGGGAGTCACCTGCTTATGTGTGATAGTTATAATACTCAAGTCACTGTTGCGTATACTTCACTTGTCCGCCATTACTACGATATTCATTGGTGGCGGTATTTTAGACAAATGTTACCTAATGGTGTTCCTTTAACACTGGATAGAGACAGTGGAAATTATAATATTGTCAAAATTACCAGTCTTTTTACTTATGGATATTAACCTTTTTAAATCTACATAAATTTTAATCTTTACAGACAAATATGGTATTATATATATTTTCCTTTTTTTTATTTAACACACTTTGATTACTTTAGTTGTTGTTTAAAACAAAATGTTTGCCAAAAAAAAAAAGAACCTCCAAAGAAGAATAAATCTTCAACATCACAAGTTTCGAAAGTAAGCTATTTGAAGTTTCCGATTGAGAGATACTGCTGTTTTCATTTACTATCGATGTTTACAGATGGTTTTAGCTAATAATTTAAACTATGGCTAAGTTTTATCTTGACGTTCTGTTTGGTGTGACGTAACAAATTAAGATATTCACATTCGATGACGAGGAACCCACTTTGAGACTAATAATGCTTGGAGAAGGCTTGAATGGGTAATGAAAAATACTTTAATGTAAGTTTAACATAACAGTAAATATACAAGGTTTTGTCATCATCAGGTACAAGTAGTATACACTAACACAAATATATATATACAGTGCAATATACTTGTTTTCCTTTTCTGTTTCAAGTGACCTTTCCCAAAGACAGCAAAACATGTAGTAATGTCTGTGTTGTGCATTGTTCTAAGATGCTCCGAATGGATCAACACTCACAGAAACAATGAGGACTCTCAGAAGCCATTGTTGAGGAATGAATAGAAATGATCATAATAAAAAAGACTTTACCTAATAAGAAAGAACAAGAATAAATTTAAAATTGTACTGTTGACAAGATAGACCACTGACTGAACTGTACGTGCTAAAGCATCAGCTGAGCCAATAAAAAGATTTCACAAACTGTAAACAATGGGTATTTTATAAAGTGCTCGCACACTTTAAAATGAAAATAACATTTTGGAAATTTTGTTTCTGTAAAATTATAAATCTAAAATTAAATTTTCAGTCTCACTCTGATGTGGTTAGTTATAAAACTACTAGGTACGTTCTTATATTATTTTTCCTCTTTCATTTAAGGTATCATTTCAAAGCTTGAATAAAAAATGTCCAGCATCAGACAGATTACTATGGTTAACATAACGTAAACAAAATAACTTTCTAACAGACTGCTTAAAGGGTAGATAAAAAAGAACACAAACAAACAGTCATCTCTGATTAGGTAGGCATTTGATAATTTACCAGTTAAATTACACGTGAAAAGTTAGAATTATGGTAACCATAGTGATGTCATGTATAAATAATCGACACCAATATATACTTGAATTATGTAAGGTGGTCATATTTTCTAATCCAATCTGGGGACCAAAACAATTGTACTCACCAGCAGAATTCCTGATGCTGACGGCATGAAAGGGCTCCAATTACTGCCTGTATTTCCTTGACGAGTTTGTTTTGATGGGGAAAAAATGATTTAACAGTTTCAGTCTTGTAACTAGATTTTTCTGCTGTCCACAGATCATTCATGATAGATAATACCCTCTCCACTAGAGCAAGTAGGTACGTCACTCTCGTGAAAATTTCCTTATAAATATCAAACTAGTGTATCAAATTGCCTGAATTGTTTTCATGAAAGTTGCCAAGAATATTTAGTTTAACAAGATACAAATATTTAGTTTCGATTTTTCCCTCAATTTTTACAACACAGAATGTTGATAATAGTGTATTAAAATTCAAAATATAAAGTACTTGAAAATAACAATAACAATAATAACAGTAAAATTTGCCACTTTGGAAGTGATACTACTGCAGTATTCTTTATAAGTACAGTAATTAATAAACCTGTATCATTTATACTGTACTAATAAACCTGTATCATTTATACCAAAATGTTAGTAGCCCATCCCAATAGAGTGCACCACATGCAATGCCATGACGTACCTACTTAAAATGTTAGTAGCCCATCCCAATAGAGTGCACCACATGCAATGCCATGACGTACCTACTTAAAATG